CGGCCGCGCTCAAGCGGGAGGCAGCGCGAAGCCGAGCTCTGCCGCGAGCCGCTCCGCTTCAGCCCTGCCCGCCCGAGACTTCCTCGCGACCGCTCGGATTCAAACGTGGACGTCGAGACCCCAAGAGTGACGACAGGTACATGTGTGAGGACGACCCGCCCGGTGGGATTGAAAACGTGGGGTGCGGGACCCAGAGGGAGGAGGCTCCCGCCTGAGGCCTCCTCATTATCCACTGACAGAAGAAACTGTCGCTTCAGACTTCCTCGATTTTCAAACCTGGGGGGTCCAAGAGAGACGACAGTTATAAGTTTTAGGACGACCCACAAGGATTAAGCACAATGGCTGCGGGCCCCACAGGGAACGGCTCCCGCCTGAGATTTCCGAGCAATTTACTCAGAAATGAAGCTCCCGCTTGAGATTTCCTCTATCTTCAGACCTGGAGAACTTTTAAACAATGCGACACTTCTAACTTTGAGCATAGCCCCTCTGGGATGCAAAAACATGAAACGCGGGCCCCACAGGGAGGGCGCTCCTGCCTGAGACTTCCTCGCGATTAACTCACAAACAGGGCCCCCGTTTGAGACTTCCTCCATATATTCAATCCTGGGGAGCCCAACAGTGACGACAATTGCATGCTTGAGCATGACCCCTCTGGGATTAAAACACGGGGTGCGGGACCCATAGAGAGAGGGCTCCCGCTCGAGACCTCCTCGCAATTCAATAAAATACGAGGCCCCCGCTTGGGACTTCTCAAATATTCAGGCCTGAAGAGCCCAAAAGTGCCGACAAGATCATGTTTGAGGATGACCCGCTGGAATAAAAAGGCGTGGGGCACGGGACCCATAGGGATGGGGCTTCCGCCTGAGACAGACGAGGCTCCTGCTTGGGACTTCCTCCGCACTCAGGCCTGAAAAGCCCAAAGGAGACGACAATCACAGGTTTGAGATTGACCCGGCGGAACAAAAAAAATGAGGTGAGGGAAACATAGGGGAGGGGCGTTCCTGCTCGAGACTTCCTCGCAATCCGCGCACAGACGAAGCTCCTGCTCGAGACGCCCTCAAGATGAGTGCATGAGTGTGAACGAATGAAGGAAGGAGTGCGTGCAATGCTGATGATGTTGGCGATGCTGATTGTGATAATGATGATGGTGGTGATCATGATGACGGACAATGACCAGTGACCATGCTGGGATAGTGATAGTGATGATGATGACGATGGTGGTATGGTAATGCTGATGGTGCTGATGATGATGATGATGATGATGATGATGATGATGATGATGATGATGATGATGATGATGATGATGAGTGGCGAATGATAATGATGAGTGAGTAAGCGAGGCCTGAGGAGCGCAAACATGACGGCCGGATGACCCCCTGGGATTCAACAAATGAGTAGCGATGCCCATGCGGGGGGCTGGCTACCGCCTAAGAGCTCATCGCTGTTCGCTCACAAACGAAACTCATGGTCGAGACCTCTTCCGTAGTCAGGCCTGGGGAGCAAAGGTGACGACACTTGCAAGTTTGAGGATGTCCCGCTGGTGTTCAAACGCTTGATGTGCAGGACCCATCGGGTGGGGGGCCCGTAATCCACTCACTGACGGGGCTCCCGCCCGAGACGCCCTCAAGATGAGTGTGTGAATGTGAATGACCGAATGTGTATACACCATTGATGATGCTGGTGATGGTGAGGGTGGTGATGTTGACGGTGGTGACGCCGTGGTGTGATAATGATTACGGTGACTGGTGACTGATAGAGATGAACGAGTAAGTGAGTGAGCAAGTGAGCGGGTGATGAGTGGGCAAAGAGGTGAATGAGTGCGGATGCGGATGTGGGTGAGAAAGAGACGGGGGATGATGATGATGATGATGAGGAGGAGGAGGAGGAGGAGAAGGAGGAGGAAAAGGAGAAGGAGTAGGAGGAAATCCTGTGCTGGGGGTGCGCAGGGAAACCAAAAACCCAATGCTGAATGTGGTGAAAAACAGGATGTGCGCCCCCCCACAAAAAAGGGTGCCACTGCCTGAGGCCCCGTCGCAATTCATTCACCAACGAGGCTCTCGCTTGAGACATCCTCCATATTCAAGCGCGGGGAACCCAGAAGTGAAGACACTGATACGTTTGAGGGTGACACCCTGTGGTTCAACACGTGAGGTGGCGCGCTGGTCCCGCCTGAGACTTCACTGACGACAGCTTCAAGTTTGAAGATGCCCCCATGCATAACAACAACAGCAAAAAACATGGGGTGCGGGTCCCATAGGGAGGGGGTTCACGCCTGAGACTTCCTCACACTTCACTCAAAGACAAAAGGCTCCCGCTGAGACTTCCTCCGTATTCAAGCATGGGGAGCCCAAAAATGAGAACTGTCACACGTAATTTGAGGATGGCCCCCTGGAACTCAAAACGCGTGACGCGGGACGCCTAGGAAGGGTGCTCCCGCCTGGGACTTCCTAGCAACTCACTCACAGACGAGGCTCCCGCTTGAGACGTATTCCATGTTCAGGCCTGGGGAACCCAGACGTGACGACAATGACAGGTTTTTGAAGTGGGATTGAAAATGTGGCGCGCGGGTCCCATATTGAAGGGCTCACGCCTGAGACTTCCCAACAATTCACTCAAAACAAAACTCCCGCCCGAGACCTCCCCGATATTCAAGCCTGGGGGTGGCAACAAAAAACTACAATTACAAATTCGAGGGCGACCCGCTGGGATTGAACTCATGGGGCGTGGGACCCATAGGGAGGGATCCCCCGTTCGAGACTCCATTGCGATTCGCTCACAGGCGACACTCCCGATTGAGAGGTCCTTCAGATGACTGTGTGTGCGTGTAGATGTATGAGTGCCTGAGTGCGTGTGGGTGTAGTGATGATGGCGAATGGCCATGATATGATGATAGTGGCGATGGTCATGGTGTGATGACGGTGATGGGTGATGGTGGTAATGTTGAGTGGTGATGATGGGTGGGGTTGTGAATGCGCGCGAGGGTGCGTGCAAGTGCGTGAGCGCGTGTGAGATGATAATGACTGTGGTGATGATAATGGTGATGATCACGGTGTGGTGGCGGGTGGGTGGGTGAGTGAGTGGTGGAGATAGTGATGATGATATTTGTGGGATGGCGGTGAGAGGAGGGGCGAGGCGTTGGGCGAGGTTCCTGTGCTGGGGGTGGGCAGGGAAAACAAGAACCCCACTTTGGATAGGGCGACAACAACTTACGCTGGATGCGGAGGACAAAAAGCTGCAACTCGAATCAACACACGTACCTCGCGCGCGCACCTGCGTGCCCCAAGACGGACACAGCTCGGTGACTGCCATCCGTGTCAGAGAAGACCAGGCGGGCCACGTGCGCGCGGGCCCCCCGCGTGCGCGCAGGCCGAAGCCCTTCAAAACGATTGCGCGCTTGCAACACAGAACACAGTGATAGATGCTCACCGCCACTCCGATCACACAATATACAGGTAGTTACACACACGCGCCCCCGCCTGCGCATTGCGGAGTCACTCAGTAGTCAAGTGGCGCGTCCTGAAACCAGGAGCCCTGCAAAAATGCCAGAGCTGCACCAAGATTACAATCTTAAATCGCCAATGGATCCGTTTCCTGAAGCAACGAACGGTTGAAAACGATGTTGGTTTACACATTGCAGAGCAACTGCCGTGCCGCACCGTGCCCACGTGCCGTGGCGTCGTGCCGTGCTTGGTTTCCGGACTGACGAAGCAGTGGCCCTGCAATGGCCGCGCGCCGTGCCCAACCGTTCTGTGTCGTGCGTCTGTCCGGGGGTGGAAGAACATTACCGTGCCGTGCTGTGTCGTGCTTGTTTTTGGGGGTGCCCACACAAATGCGCCGTGCCATGCCGTGCCGCGCCGTGCCGTGCTAGCGCGCCCGCGTGCCTTGCAAAGCCTGGGTTGGAGAACGTGCGGCATTGCTTTGCCGTGAGGTGCCGTGCCCGTACGCCATACCGTGCTTACTTTTGAGAATGCAAAAGACGCGTTGTGCCGTGCCGAGCCCGGGGACCGCGCCGTGCCTGCGCGCGGTGGCGTGCCACATTTTCAAACTGCGAAACAAGTTGCCGCCGTGCCGTGCAACGCCTGGCTGCCAGAATGAAGACAAATGCTGTGCAATGCCGCGTCTTCGCTTCAGAATTCTAAAAATTGCCGTGCCGTGCCTTGCCGACCATGTACGACCCCGCATTTGTAAGCGAAGCATTCAGAAACACAACTCTTCAAACACACAGAAGACATGCATCCCTTTCAAAAATGCGTGTCTGAATCCCCCAACTCGCCCGCACGAGACATGCGTCTGCATGAGAAGAGTCCGCGCGTTCTTGAGCACTCCAGGGTCAGCTGACGACCTCCAGAAAGAAACATATCTCACGAGTATTGCCAGCAAGTTGCGGGCGGAGGGATGTGATGTTTGCGCGAGGTTTGAACTCAACAACTGAAAGCTGGTAGAATTGATTGCGCCCCGTGGAAAGCCCCGCATCGGCTGAACATGTTCACTATTTGGGGGTCGGCGCACCAGTATCATTCCGATAACAGTCTGTGCGTGTGGCTGGTTGTGCCTAGTCTGTCGGGGTGTGGCCAATGTGTAGCCAGCGCTTGGATTTTGGGAACGGCGCGCCTCGAAGAGGTCACCGCGAACGATCGAGGTGGCGATCCGCTGTCGACCCTCGGGGCGCAGCCACCCCTCTGCAGCCCGAGGCGGCCACTGAACGCCGTGCAGTATACCGCATCGGCCTTGACAACACCTTCGTCTGCCGTAGCGGGCAGAGACTGATCGCAGCTGGTTGCGATGAGACCCGTCTGGTCTGGCATCGGTGCCTCGTGATTGCGATCGGTCGTCCTCGAGAATGGACAAGGGGGGCTGAAGGAGGTGGGAAGGAGGGAGGAGGGACAGGTGGGTTGCGCGGGGCAGAGGAATGGGGGCGGGGGGGGGGCTGCAGCATCGCTGTTTGGCTAGTTAACGGAAATCACAGACTTTGATGATCACACAAATCAAGTCGCAGCTGCCTTGGTAGATAAAATTCGAAGAGCAGCAACGTGGTCAGCTTGCGGCACCGGAGCTGCTCCACGCAAACAAGCCTGCTGGGCAGCTCGGCGGCGGAGGAAGGGAGCGCGCAACAAGTCACGCAGAGAGTGATGGAGAAGACGCATAGCCACACATTCGACCATGGACCCCTATAACCCATCGGCCTTGAGCGGTCTTCCTCTTCAGCTGTCTTCGGCGGTATTCTGCCAGTCTTCGGCGGCTTCGGGCGGTCTTTGGCAAGTTCTGGCGGTCTTCGGCGCGAAGGCTGATTGGCTGCTTTTAACAAGGGGTCCATGACCGAACGCGTAATGAAAGGACAGGGGGAGGTTCGATGACGTCGGCAACATGGGGCATCTGTGCACGCTGTCGTCGCAGAAACTGGCGCCTCACTTGCCAGTGAGATCAGTCTCGCTGTGATGGCATTGCAAGAGCTAGGTCGCCCCGTTTAGCCTGCTCAAGCCGCTCAACCGCAGGAACTGAAAGCCTAGGATGGCGTCCGTTATATTCCCCCAGCCTGCCCTGTACGAATGGAAACCAAAATAGTCGTATGCCCATAAGTCTGACTTTCTGCTTTGCATCAACGGGCACTTGGATCCTTAGCCGCCTTAGCCTTCCCCTGAAGGAGTCCAGGCTCCAAGATCCAAGCTCTATGCATGGTGGGGCAATCAAGCGCCATCATCAAGGGATCCAGCATTGGCCTCAGAAGAGTAAGCCATAGGAGGCGCCCGAAGAAGCCACTGGTGCGACCTCACCCATTACTACACCTGGCTGCGGATTGTCCACGTAGTTGTTACAAAGGGCAGCAGGATATTGGCAGAACTATCATGGTTCCTGGCAACACCTGCTTCGCTAAATCCTGCCTCCCCGGATACAGCCCATGCCTGGAGACAGACACTGCACTAGAATGGGAACCAGGGCGCATCTTCAAGCCAAGAGGAGCGCACCAAGGCCATCCTAGACCAGCGGCACATCATAACTCCAGAAGTGCACCCGCTGGGACGTCACGTTTGCACGGGCTGTGCTTTACTCTCCAGGTGGAGCCCAAGCCATTGCTACCAGCGTGCAGCTGATCGCCACCATCACCGAGGCCAGGGCGCAGGGCGTGCGGTGCAACCTCCACTTCCCCGCGGCAGTCATCCCGAGCCCCTCCTGCGACCAAGACTGCCACACTGCCACCCAGCCTGCCCCCCCTCCTCCACTGAAAACGAGGTGTCGCTGGCTCTGTCCACATAGCCATCCCCAGGAAGCTCTCTCATGGAATCGGGGGGAAACAAACCTACCTCGCTTTTGACCACCCTCGCTTCCAAGAGATACCAAACAATGCCAAATTGCGGCCTGTACTGGTCAGGCCGCTTGACGAGGAGGCGCGTGGTATGGCTTGGTTTTGCCTGGAAGCGAAAGCGGGGGAGGTAATTCACGCTCTGATGGAAACCAGGGATCCACCAGCAGCCCCACTGATCAACACATGGATACATCGCCGCCTGGCACCGAGACAGCACGCGTTTCTCCATGGGCAGCAGCACGTGATCAATATCCCTTCTGTCAGTCGACTTGGACCAGTAGGGGTTCACCGGTGGGAGATCGCCTCGTTCGCTCGCAGTTCCTGAACCCCCACGAGTGAAGCTCCAACTGGTCCGGATCAATGGACCGCAGAGTTGAGTCTCATATGTGATAACGTCACTGCATGAGCACATCTGGTCGCCATTGCTTCTGGACCAATGTATGTGCCAATCGGAGCGTGTGCAGGGTTCACTTCTAAAGTTAAACGAGTACCTACACTGTGAACGGGAGTTGCCTTCCGCCTGATCTCTCCTCCGCTCGCGTTCGGGTCATCGGAATGTGTGTGGATTCACCTTCTCTCATGCCAACCTGCCGACATGGGAGGGAAGAGGGGCGAAGAGCATACCAGAGAGATGCTGGGCAGAACGTTGATGGACTACGGTCCAGCACGAGCTCTGCAGAACGGTGAGGCTGGCAGCGGAGGACGGACGCACTCCAACGGCACATAACGTCAGACGGCATGCGCGTAAACTGTGGGCGGTCTGTGAGGATTTCTTGAGTCGGCGCTGAACCCCCTCCCTGGCGCGCGGAGCGCGCCAGGGGCGGCGCCAGAGGCGCCGCCGGGAGGCGCCCAGCCCAGGAAACCGTGTGGACCTCCGACAATTTGTAATGTTTGTGTAGATCCTCGGCTAGGCTTTGCCAAACGGGGTCTCACTCGTTTGTTGCCGGGAGACGCAGAGCTGTCAACAATACGGATCAGTCGCCGACCTGTGCTGAACGAAGGTGCACGTTCAATGCCACCCTGGGGTGGATTCTAAGCACAACATGCATGTGAACTTCACCCCTGCACATATTGAATATTGAAATACCTCAGTACGGGCCGGAAGTCTGCTTCACGTTGCCGGCGGTCCCAACGCAGGCGCAGCTCCTGGGCGTGTACTTGCCAAAGGCTGCATCGGAATTCGCGTTGACCCTCGCCTTCAGTGCTTTCTGGGCAGCCGCGATGTTCCCCTCCTTGCCCATTCAAGTCACGATGCATGTCTTCTGCAGGGCCTTTTCGCACGAGAAGGAGAGGTGCCAGGGCATCTTGTCCTTGAAGAGCTTGTTCATCATGTTCAGGTTGAAGGTTGCCACCTTCTCGTTGTCCTCGTCCAAAGCGGTCTCACCAGACAGGACGAAGATACCCGGCAACGCTGGAGGCACTGTGCGAAGCAGCGCCTGCACTGTGAGCGTGGCGATTGTTTCAGCGTCAGCCCTCGTGCCGCCGATGCCGTTCTTCACCGTGTTCGGCTTCAGGAGGCAGCCCTCCAGGTAGATATAGGTGATCCGCGAGAGCCTTGAACTGGGCGGCCAGCATCCTCTCGGTCACCTTCGCACAATCTGCGATGTCGTGCTTTGCCATGGGGAACAATCTCTGGCCCAACGATCGGCACCAGCTTCTCGCGCTGGCAGATAGAAGCGTAGCGCGCCAGGGTGCGCACCGTGTCAGCAATGGCGAGGTCGCTGGGCAGCCCCGTCTCGGGGTCGAGCTGGAGGACGCTGCACCACTTGGCAAACCGAGCTCCCTTCGCGTAGGCCTCCGCGCACCTCTTCTGGAGGCCGTCGAGGCCAACGGTTGAGACCTCGGGGTGGCCCAGCGGCCCGACGTCAATGCCCCACATGCCCTTCTTATTGTAGGCATTGTCCACCTTGATGCCCGGGGTCATACCGCTCCCCAGCGATTCTGTCTACCATCGGCATCCCTGAGGCGCCATCCTGGAAGAGAGTTTCCCAGTGCAAGATCACACCGCTGATGTGCCCGCTCAAGCCCAATGACTCTGTCCACCGTCGGCTTCCCTGAGGCGTCCTCCTGGAAGAGGGCCTCCCAATGCAACGCTGACACACCGCTGACGTGCTCGCTCCAGCCCAGGGTGCCGAAGCACATGGCGCGGTGTGCGGCACGGTTCTCGATGGCGTCGGGCATCTGCGCTGCCACGGCGTGGCCGGCGCGCCGCCACGGGCCCGCAGACGCCTCGGCAGCAGGGGGCCCCTCCCCGGGCGCGCCGAGCCTGGCGGCCGGCCACTCTGACCTCCGCCGGGACACCCTCCGGCAGGCACGCGGGCGGGCCTCCGAGCGCCGTGGCCGCCACCGCCCCGCGGCTCGGGAGCAGGCGGCGGTCGCGAGGGGACCTACGAAGTCGACGGCGGTTGGGCCCCGCGCTGCGGGGCCAGCAGCTGCGCCACGGCCCGCTCCCGCTCGCCCGCTCGCCCGCGGCGGCCTCCTCCGCCTCCTCCTCCGCCGGCTCCTGCTCCTGCTCCTGCGCCTCCCTCCTCCTCCTCCTCCTCCTCCTCCTCCTCCTCCTCCTTTGCTTGTGAAGAGGCCCGTGAGTCTGGGGTGCTTCGCCAGAGGCAGCGCCCGGCGCTCCTCGGGCAACCTCCCTCGAGTGGCCCTGTTGCCCGGTTGCCGGGTTGCCCCGCAGCCTTGGTTGCCTCTGTTGCCTGCTCACCTGGCTGCCCAGTTGCCCGGGTGGTCCAGGTTGCCCAGCTGCCCGGTCTTGCCAAGCAATGCCCAGCGAAGCGAAGGGAAAGAAACGCACATTCAACGCAAGGCGATGCCAAGCAACGCCAGGCAACGCGAAGAAGTGCAGCGCACAGGAATGCCAGGCAATACCAGGCAATGCCAAACATACTTGCGTTCGTTCCCTGCTTAGTCGCTTACTCAGGCAACTGTCCTCCTCTGATTGGGGTCGCGCTGGGTTTATGTTTTTCTTCCTCGACCTCCCCCCTGCCCCGTGCCCGCCCTTTCCACTCCCACATCCTCACCACCTTCCCCCCCGACCCCATCTTCGGGTCTGACAAAAGGTAGGATTTAGCGAATCAGCTCACTTAGATGGTTTTGCCGACGCCTCCTGGCACATGAGGCGCTCGCTCGTGTCATCGAGGAAACCGCCTGGCCTTGGGGCCGGAACCAGCTGCACGCTGCAATTTTCGCACCCCCCCTTTCCCGATCCACCTCTATTGTCCACCGCGACCGCGAGTGGTCCTCGTCGCCTGGCCGTTGGGTCATAACTCGGGTCTGTGGGGGCTGTTCGGGACAATCTGAGCACTCCCGGACCGCTCCCGGCGAGGCGCAGCTGCTGGAGAGAACCCCGAGGAAGGAAAGCCACCGAAAACAAACGAACACGCCCGAAACTCGGACCTCGAACCTCAGACGTCGGCGACCCCATCCTCCTCCTCCTCCTCCTCCTCCTCCTCCTCCTCCCCTCCCTCCTCCTCCTCCTCCTCCTCCTCCCTCCTCCTCCTCCTCCTCCTCCTCCTCCTCCTCCCTCCCCCTCCCTCCCCCCTCCCCTCCTCCTCCTCCCTCCTCCTCCTCCTCCTCCTCCTCCTCCTCCTCCTCCTCCTCCTCCTCCTCCTCCTCCTCCTCCTCCTCCTCCCTCCCCCTCCCCTCCTCCTCCTCCTCCTCCTCCTTCCTCCTCCAGCTAGCGCAGGCTTCGCGCGCCCAGAGCTCTTTTGTTCTCCCCCCCGTGCCTGCTGTGATCTGCCGACGCGGTGTCGCAGGGAGCGGGCACAGCGGGCAGAGCGGTGCCGCGACCGCAGCGAGGGCCTCGCAGCCCCCGGAAGGCCGTCTTCACACAGCACTACGCCGGACGAGAAAGCATAGCATCAACGTCTCAGCTGCGCCAAGTGGCACAGCGGGTGGAGCGGTGCCACGACCGCAGCGATGGCCTCGCACCCCCGGAAGGCCGTCTTCACACAGCACCACGCTGGACGAGAAAACATAGCATCAACGTCTCAACTGCGCCAAGTGGCGAATCCTGTGGGCGAGGCTCCGCCTAAAAGATCGACTCGCACAGGGCGTGTCACGGGGCGTGTTGGCAGACCCGCGGGCTGCAAAGAATGACATGGCGCGACCTCAGCTAGAAGCTTCCTTCCGGCCTCATACAAGCCAAGGTCACCCCTTCCACTACCTTAAACAAGAACCCTCTGGTACAGCCTAATTGAAGACAAGCGTAGCCGACGGCAACTGGCCAGTGCCCAGCGCACGCGGCAGTGTGCACACTTTGCTCCAACATTCGGGTCCGACGTGCGGCATGAGCTCCCTCTGGGCTAAACAAGCACCGCTTCACAAAGACCAGGGCACTTCGGCTGCCGAGCGGCCGCGGTGGAGCACTGCCAAACTGAAAGCCCCAGCAAACGCAGCTTCACTTGACCGGCTCAGATCGAATGCTGGCACGACAGGGTGAAAACAGAATAACAATTATGCTATCGGAGTTCCCCACATAAAGATATTAACGGTTTCGTGGGACCCATGGGGTACGACAACATCAACACGCAGGAGAAGTTCATCGAACGAGTAAGTACGCACGAAAGTGCAGACGAAAGAAAGGAGGAGGGAGGACAGGGGCTCAGGAAACGAAGCCTTGTAAATAGTAAGGTTTCTTCATACCCTCCTCGCTCTGGCGGGGCCCCGCTGGAAGGGGGAGGGCTACGAAATCTGGTAGAGAGTAATGCTTTCCGCGACCCTCCTCGTTCAAGCGCGGCCTCTCTGGAGGAGTGGAGGGGGGGCACGAAACCGTGTAAACTGCATTGTTTCCGATACCCTCCTGGAGGAGGAGGAGGAGGAGGAGGAGGAGGAGGAGGAGGAGGAGGAGGAACAGGATAAGATGGATGATGGTGAAGAGCAGCAGCAGTATCATCGTCATCATCATCAGTATCATCAGCATCATCATCATCATCATCATCATCATCATCATCATCATCATCATAATCATCATCGTCAGCATCATCGGCATCATCATAACCATCATCATCATCATCATCATCATCATCATCATCATCAGCATCAGCATCATCATCATCGTCAGCGTCATCGTCATCATCATCGTCGTCGCCATAATCGTCATCATCATCATCATCATCATCGTCATCATCATCACCATCACCGTCCTTGGCATCATCATCGTCCGCATCATCGTGGACGTCATCATCATCAGCATCATCGTCGTCATCATCATCAACAGCACCAGCAACGTCAGCATCAGCAGCAGCATCGTCATCATCACCAGCATCTGCAGCATTAGCCTCGTCGTCGTCGTCGTTGTCATCGTCGTCATCGTCATCATCACCATCATCAGCATCGTCATCATCATCAGTATCATCATCATAGTCGCCGTTATCGCCATCGTCACCGTCCATCACCATTATCGCCATCGTCATCGTCATCGTGAACAGCAGCATAACCATCGTCATCACCATCATCATGATGAAGCCTTCCTCATCGCAGAACTCCCCCTCCTCCTCACCCTCCTCAGTGGGAGGAGTAGGACGTGAGACGGATAGGTAATGTTCTCCCCTCCTCCTCACCCATGTCAGTGGGAGGGGCACGAAACCATTTAAATAGTGTAGGTTTCCGATACGCTCCTCGCTCAGATGGGGCCTCCCTGGAGGGGAGGGAGGGGCACGAAACCATGTAAATAGTATGGTATTCCGATACCCTCCTCGCTCAGGCGGGGCCTCCCTGGAGGGGTGGGAGGGGCACGAAACCATGTAAATAGTATGGTATTCCGATACCCTCCTCGCTCAGGCGGGGCCTCCCTGGAGGGGTGGGAGGGGCACGAAACCATGTAAATAGTATGGTATTCCGATACCCTCCTCGCTCAGGCGGGGCCTCCCTGGAGGGGTGGGAGGGGCACGAAACCATGTAAATAGTATGGTATTCCGATACCCTCCTCGCTCAGGCGGGGCCTCCCTGGAGGGGTGGGAGGGGCACGAAACCATGTAAATAGTATGGTATTCCGATACCCTCCTCGCTCAGGCGGGGCCTCCCTGGAGGGGTGGGAGGGGCACGAAACCATGTAAATAGTATGGTATTCCGATACCCTCCTCGCTCAGGCGGGGCCTCCCTGGAGGGGTGGGAGGGGCACGAAACCATGTAAATAGTATGGTTTTCCGATACCCTCCTCGCTCAGGCGGGGCCTCCCTGGAGGGGTGGGAGGGGCACGAAACCATGTAAATAGTATGGTTTTCCGATACCCTCCTCGCTCAGGCGGGGCCTCCCTGGAGGGGTGGGAGGGGCACGAAACCATGTAAATAGTATGGTTTTCCGATACCCTCCTCGCTCAGGCGGGGCCTCCCTGGAGGGGTGGGAGGGGCACGAAACCATGTAAATAGTATGGTATTCCGATACCCTCCTCGCTCAGGCGGGGCCTCCCTGGAGGGGTGGGAGGGGCACGAAACCATGTAAATAGTATGGTTTTCGGATACCCTCCTCGCTCAGGCGGGGCCTCCCTGGAGGGGTGGGAGGGGCACGAAACCATGTAAATAGTGGTTTCCGATACCCTCCTCGCTCAGGCGGGGCCTCCCTGGAGGGGTGGGAGGGGCACGAAACCATGTAAATAGTATGGTATTCCGATACCCTCCTCGCTCAGGCGGGGCCTCCCTGGAGGGGTGGGAGGGGCACGAAACCATGTAAATAGTATGGTTTCCGATACCCTCCTCGCTCAGGCGGGCCTCCCTGGAGGGGTGGGAGGGGCACGAAACCATGTAAATAGTATGGTATTCCGATACCCTCCTCGCTCAGGCGGGGCCTCCCTGGAGGGGTGGGAGGGGCACGAAGCCATGTAAATAGTATTTTCCGATACCCTCCTCGCTCAGGCGGGGCCTCCCTGGAGGTTTTCGGGGAGGGGCACGAAACCATGTAAGTAGTATGGTTTTCGGTATGGAGTGG